TACTTGGCTCAGGATGACCAATGATCCTGATAAACAAGGTAGCTAGACAGAATGTAGAGCCTGAACTTCAAAGCTTTAACTCCTATTACTGGTTCTTCATATTCGTTTATTTCCTTAACCCTCCCTCCAGGACACAGATGTGCAGTCTATGTTTGTGTGAGCTGCACTTGGCGACTTCTGAAGCTGTGAAGGCTGTTGGTGCTCACCAATAGTCTTGTAAAATGGCTTTCGTCCCTCCCAGCTCCACTTGCTGTCTGCCATGCCACCAGGCAGCACCAGGAACGCCCCTCTACTGGAGCGAGTTGGCTTTTTGTAACTCAGGAGAACACACACTGAGGGAAGCCGCGGGCAGTCTCACTGGAAGGGTGTTAGGGGGACTGGAATCAGATTTGAGCTTGTTTAGGGGCCATGGGGACCATCCAGGAAAGGACTACTTTGTTCTGAATTAAGTGTTGTCGGCAAGTAGAGGTAATTCTCTGTGTGAATAAGTTGTACCTTATAGAAGGAGAGAGGGCTGGCATGAGGCTAAGGAAGTTACTGGTAAGGAAGCAGCAGTCACTCTTCCTAGCCGGGGTCAGGCCATTTGGCCGTTTTGTGGTTTAGACCGTGCACTTGCTTTTGTCTGCATTCAGACAAGAGTTTGCCCTTGTTTTCATCTTGATCCATCCACGATCAGAGTGGTCCTGTCTGATGCTGTTGTGGTGCGAAATTGTATTCAGCAGAACAATGGCAAGGTCCCCCTGTGAGCACGAGGCCAGCTCGCAGATGCCACGGCTGCTTCTCTGTGGTCAGAGGACGCACGCGTAGGGCAGTGGCGCCGAGCAGGCTTTGGGTAGTGCCTCTGGCCGCCACACCTCTGTTCAGCCTTGCCAAGGATCATGCTCTCCCTCCATCCCATCTCCATCTCTGCAAGATAAGGCTGTGCCCTGACTTGACCCCAGTCCATTATAAAAAGCTGTTTGCATCTTGCGCATGTTCGGTCCCACATGAAGATGTCAGACTGTGAAGCCAGCACAGTTCTCAGACATGCGGTGTTGTCACAACCTTTGTCACTTCCCCAGGAAGCATTTTCCTCCAGTGGAGCCCATGGAGCTTTGCTCATAGACCCAAAGAGGCCTGGGTCAGTGACAGCTGCCTGGTTAAGGTGCCGCACTTGCTGAAGTAGGTGATTCAGAGACACCCATAGACACCCATCACTACTAATTATGGCATCATTGTATGTCCCAGGAATGTTACATGTACCACTGCATCTAAATCACATGTCACCTTTTGGCTGTATGTTAATTGTAGTCATTTCACTAAATAGCTTTGCTTAGGTTACTTGGCCATGAAATAACACCTGGGGTTCAAGTCCACGTCCATGCTTACCCAAGCTGGAACCCCTTGCGCTCTGCCATGACACCGCTGGTTGTTACCTGCTCTGGGAGCATTCTCAGCCCGGGTTGCCTACCGTTTCTGAGTGCCGCCATGCAGAATACTCCAAGTTATTCAGAGAAGTGCACGCTGGCCGGCTGGCCCCAGAGATGCCCACAGGACATGCGCTCCTCTGACATCACCAGCATGGTCAGACCTTGCGAATCCTCAACACTTGTTCCACGCTCTTTGCTCTAGAAGCGGCCAGGTGCTTGAGGAACCTGTGCTGTATTCCCATCCTGGCTACAAGCACACCGGGACAAGGAAACCTGGGACCTTCCTGCAAAACCAGCCCAGAAGAGGCTTAAACTCAGATGCCTTTTTATGTGTCCATGAAGCCAGGAGAGAAATGTTTCCAGCAGCCTTGCCAAGTTCTGTCTCAACAGAGCCCGTGCTGACCCCACGTGGGCTGTCTGATAAAGCTAACGGCATCAAGATAAGCCACTGGCATTATCAAGCGACAGGGAAATGTCTCCCTCCATCCACTCTGATTTCTGGTCCTGGTAGGGGTAGTCCAGGAGCTGCCCCTCAGAGCTCTGAAGCTTTGCAGATCCAGCTGGGTTGTTAATAGCTGGGTTCGATAGCTTGAGCTGATTTTCATAAAAAACAGGAAGTGCGATTTGTTTTTCTAGCTCTTTAGTAAAGGTAGACTGAGGAGTGCAAGTTTGACTCACAGCCTTAATCTTTTCAGGGTAGCAAACCTGCCGCACTGCAGTTATTAAATCATTTACCAGGAAACAACTTGAACAGGGACTGTCACCTAGTTTGTTTTCAGCATAGTACCTGGTACAGAGTAGATGTTCAATAAACAGAATGTTCATTGAATTACATTAAGAAAGCAGAGACTGGGGCCGGCACTGTGGCTCACTTGGTTAATCCTCCACCTGCGGCGCCGGCATCCCATTTGGGCGCTGGTTCTAGTCCCGGTTGCTCCTCTTCCAGTCCAGCTCTCTGCTGTGGCCCGGGAGGGCAGTGGAGGATGGCCCAAGTGCTTGGGCCCCTGCACCCGCATGGGAGACCAGGAAGAAACACCTGGCTTCGGATTGGCATGGTGCTGGCCGTGGCGGCCTTTTGGGGAGTGAACAAGCGGAGGGAGGACCTTTCTCTCTGTCTCTCTCTCACTGTCTATGACTCTACTTGTCAAATAGAAAAAAAAGTTTAAAAAAAAGAAGAAGGAGGCAGAGACCATGCCCGCTGCAATGCCATTCAATGAATTGCTGTTGGAAAGTCCTTAAGAAATCTTTGTTGATGCAATTGACTCTTGGCCTGAAACAAAATAGTAAATTTTCATGGAAAGTTGAATTTTTTTCTCCAGTACACTTGTCGGGGGACTGGAGAAAAATCATTTGGTTTCTGCTTTCAGGCCACATAGCTTATATTTCCTACCTCACACATAAAATCTTGATTCTCCACATTTCCTGAAGTTAACTGAGGCTACACAGGAGCTGAGAGAGGTCTCACAAAAAGGCGGAGCATAGTCAGTGGTTTTATTTTTTATGTATGAAGAAATATTAGCTGTCACAATTCTAACGTGGGGACAATGGAAGCAAGGCCTGTCTGCTCCTCTGTCTGATACAGGGACTGCTGAGCTCGGGAAGAGGCAGCGTGGTGAGCGCGTAAAGACTTCCGAAGTGCAGGGGTGGGTATTCAGCCTGATGGTTAAAATGCTGCTGTCCCACATCACGGTGCTTGGGTTCAAGTCCCAGCTCTACTCCCTGTGCCGACTTCCTGCTCATGCAGACTGGGAAGCAATGCATGGTAGCTCAAGTAATCAGGTTCCTGTCACTCAACTTGGGAGACCCACATGGGTCCCAATGTCAGCCCCTCAGCTGGTGTGGACATTTGTGGAGTGGAGCAGGGGACGGGAAGTCTGTCTGTCTGTCCCTGCTAGCTTGCACTTGGATGCCTGCAAAAGAACAGCCTGTGGACTTAGTTAAGGCTCCTCAAATATCAGCAATGGGCACCAACTGTTGGTGGCCCTTTTTAAATGAAGAAGGTTGATTGAAGTGGGTTGCGTCCAAACAAAGCATGGACTTGTATGGTGAAATGAGGTTCAGGACGACAATAAGCTTATTTTTCAGAACTTGAAGGAAAGAGACTTCAGACTGATTTCGAATGAGAATGAGGTGTCCCCGAAACACAGCTCGATGCGTGTTTTCCGTACCAGTCTCCCCTTTAAGTCTGCAACAAAATGTCTCCAAAGGCTGTGGAGCATGTGGAGTGATATGGCCCTTGCTTGTCTTTGTAGCCCAGTGTCTCTCCCAAGGCCCCTAACACTGCTTTATTTGTTTGCCTGGATCTTCTCTCTCTCTCTCTCTCTCTCTCTCTCTCTCTCTCTATCTCTCTCTCTCTCTTTAAAAAGATTTTAAAAAGATTTTTTAAAAAGCTACAGAAAAAGGTAGAGCCAGAGAGAGGTCTTCCATTCCATTGATTCACTCCCCAAATGACCACAACTGCCGGAGCTGAGCCAATCCGAAGCCAAGAAGCAGGAGCTTCCTCCAGGTCTCCCATGTGGATGCAGGAGCCCAAGGACTTGGGCCATCCTCCACTGCTTTCCCAGGTCATAGCAGAGAACTGGATTGGAAGTGGAGCAGCTGGGACTCGGACGATGGGATGCCGTACTGCAGGCTGGGGCTTTAACCCGTTGCGCCACAGCGCTGACCCCTGGACCTTCTCCTAACTCTTCCTTGTTGATTGTGCACCTGCCTGGGTCACAGACACGATGACATGCAGTATGGCCTTACTACACGCGCAGGCACGTCTCTTACACATTATCTCTACTGGGGGGGAGCCACTGGCTGCTGAGGAATGTGACCACAGACTCTTCACTGTTGTGTGTGCATTGATTAATGTATTTATCAGCATTCAGAAAATTTGTATAGTATTTCTACTGTGTGTGTCCCCAACTCGGCATCAGGTTTTGGCCTCTGTGTCTCTCAAACAGATGCTCTCTGACTGCTCCCACCGTTTCCTATCATGGCACATCTGCATCTTAGTTTTTTTAAAGACTTTTTTAGTTTGTTTATGGCTGGGGAGGGGGGCGGTGCTCCTATCTGCTGATTTACCTCCCAAATGCCTGCAGTGATTGGGACTGGACTGGACAGAGCTGAGAACTGGGAACTCAATCCAGGTCTTCCACATGGGTGACTGGCACCCAGTTACTTGAACTATCATCACTGTCTGTCTCCCAGAATCTACAGTGGCAGGAAACTGTAATTGGGAGCTGGAGCCAGGCTTTGAACACAGGTACCCCAATGTGGAATGTGGTTTTCCTCACCAGCGTCTGAACAGCTAGGTCAAATGCCATATCTGTCCCTCTTCTTTCCTAATTGATCGGTTGCTGAAGAATGACAAGGACTGTGTTCCTTTGGTCACCCACTGCTGTCCCGGTGTCGTGCACAACAGCCAGCACACATGGTGGCATCAGTGCTATGACACATAAACAAAATAGTGTGCACATAACACATGTGTGTCTGTGTGCATCGATGTTCGTGTATTTGTGATGTTTGTATAAATGGGTATATTTATGTGTACATTAATGGATTTTCTGCAAATTGAAGTGTGTCTAGTGGATCCCCCGCTGGTGGAATCTTGTGGAAGAGCTGCTCCTTTAGGCATCATACAGACCATGCTGGGTTGTAGTTGCCAATCTCCTTAGCTCCTTGCTCCTTTAGATGGAGGGCTCCTTGAGAGCAGGAAGAGCTCTTCTGGCCTTGGGAATCCTACAGAACAAGCGCGTACTCAGTACTGGGAAAGTGTGCCAAGGCTGTCTTCTGCAGACGGACTATTTACAGAACAGGAATGCCAGAGCGCCAAAGAAGAAGCACCAATAATGTAATCCACTCGCCTTGTCCGGCTGCTAAGAATGCCTTGGTAAATATTAGCTAATGTGCAGACTTTTGCTTGCTATTAAGATTTGCTGGTTTCAGTAGAAAGGAACCTACAAAGTGGTTGCTATACTCACGTAACTCAGACACCAGGGACAATCCCTAATCACCCCAAGGCTCATAAAATACACATTGGCTCTTTCGGTGGCTAGATTAAGTGCCATTGTCTCAGTAGAGAAGGCTATGTGTGATAATACCCAGATCTGCCTTGTGAATGACAGGTTTGCTTAATGGATGAATTTATCCCATATCCTTGTATTTTCTAAGTAGAATTCTCACTCACTGAACAAATAAATCAGCAGCAAAGGTTAGCCCAGTACATGTAAAAAGTGCCTTCAGTTAATGCCAGATTTTCCTCAATAAAGCCAACAAGAAAGGCATCTTTTCCATCTCAGTTTCTTACGTAACAATACTGTTGAATAGAGAGATTAATGTGGTGTCTTGTTTCTTCCTGGTATGATCTTGCGTTCGTATTACAAATATGTACTTGTCAACATCTACATATCCACCTGTAATTTGTGAACCCTTTGAAAACTCAGTGTGTCGCAGAAAATAGATGGAGAGATTGATGATAACTAATTGTTTCTGCCCAAAAGTTATTTGGTATGACTTAGGAGAAACAGCAGGTGAGCTGTGGAGCGTAGCAAAGGAGAAGAGGGCCTTGCTGGAACTCGGTCTGCACCTGTGGCTGGGGACCTAGCTGCTGGTTTGTCATGTCTTAGCATGACGGTATTCAAGCCATGTGAGATCAGAAGAAAAGAAAATATATATATATATACCCAGCTCTGGGCTTGGTCTGAGGACAACCAGTTGTCTTGGTTTAAAAATCACACAACTCTGTTATCAGATCATTTTCAAACAAATAGAAATTAGAATCAGTCCATTGACTGAAGCCCAAAATAACTTAGGCTGGGTTGGAGGGAAATCAGCCTGCTTGCAGAGACCAACAGCCAACGGCACTTCCTTGCTTTTCCCAGCCATGGATGCTTCAGGCCACGGTGTGTTTAAGCAGCTGGTAAGTGGGGACTGTCTGGGGACAGCATCATGGGCTGCTGCTTGTGTTATGAGGCCGAGCAGATGATGTTTTATTTTGCATGAAGTCATGGAAACCCAAACTTCTCCAAGACATACTCAAGGGGTACTTTTTTCACTCCACAGAATGTCCTTTACTTTCAAAAGTGCAGTGAATTCCAGAGAGGCTGGAAGAAAAGAGTGAGGGGAAGAAAATCTCAGAAGTTGGTGCATTGGGAAGCCACCACTGGAATCCTAAAATAGGGCCAAGAGAATGTGGGTTCAGTTGATAACTGTTGGTTTTAGGGTTTATTATTTAAGGTGGAATCTACTCTATGAAGAGCTTTGATTACAGTATGAGCTTCCATGCACCTGGGAAGTGTTAGCAGGTGCAGATCAGGTGAGAGGGTGTGTGTGCAAGCAAGGGGGAGAGACTGGGGAAGAAGAGGCATATTCCCTCCTCCGTGTGCCCCCCTTGGGATCATCCCCTCCTTTTCTCTGATGACCGGACATCAGTGAAGTTTGGGTGGGGTGAGGTTCAAGCCACCTGGGAGTGTGCATTGCTTTTTCGTTTTGTGTTTGCTGGTACTTTTTGAAAATACATTTAGATCCTGTCCTCAACATTTCAAGTCACCAGAACTGTGGTTTTCTTTTCACTTCTACTTGGTGTTGGCTTTTTTGTGTTTTCATAAAGGTTAAGGCCACAAACAAGACAATGTGGAATATCACTTTTGTTTAAACTAAGTTGGTTTCGCTTCCTAGTTTTTATGAATAAACACATTCTTGAAGGGGGATTTTGAAATCTATTTTAAAACTAGATTTGCATTTAATGAAAAAATACCACAAAGGCATTGCTAACCATGGTGGGCACACCTTGATTTTCTTTGGTGTAGTCTAGTGTTTGTGACTCCAGGTTTCACTTTTGTTGGCTTCTTTAGGGGAAAGTCCCTTCATTATTTTGGTGTAAAATGGAAGTTACAGCAATGTTGTCAGAAGAAACTATTGAGCAGATAGTACTGAAGAGCTTGATTCATTCATTTAAATCTTCCATTCGTGTTGATTGAATGAATAAGTACCCAAAGACTGTGTAACCAGCTGTAAAGGAGGAATGACTAAAACATGGTTCTACTGGTATAGTGTAGCATTGCAATCAGTGTTCACCATTCATTTACTTCAGGAGCAGGGAAGGAAGTAAAAGTCTCTGATGGAGATCCTAATGTTAATCCTTTTGGGAATCTTGGAAAGCCATGTAGAGAGAGTAGGAATCAACTCTTGAGTTCATTGAGAAAGTCTTGGAGATCATCTGGTAGGAACTAAGCTTTGTTCTAAATACTGTTGAGTAGGAGGAGGACAAGGAGCTTGGCCAAGCACTGCACTAGTCTTAAAATCTAGAGGGAACTTTGAATAGAGAGCTTGATAACCCAGTCACTGTGTGGTAGAAGTTTCCTTGGACAGGAGGGAGTTTGGGGTTCCAGTTGTCATTTGCCATTCAGTAGGTACAGGACTTTGGCTAACTCACTGAAATTTTCCAAGTCTCAGTTCCCTCATTTGATAAATGAGAGTAGTGAATCAGATCAGGATTTCTATTGGCCCATGAGTATAAATAGCAGTACACAGGATGATTTAGGAAGTATCCTGAAGAGAGTTTCTTTTTTTGTCAGTTCTTTATTTTTATATATTACAAAACCGTAAGTAGTGCTTTCAGGCTGTGATTTTACAGAAATGATTGCTTAGCATAAGTTGAAGTTTATTAAAGAAAAAAATGGAAGTGGTTTGAAGAATCATATCAAATAAATGAAAGTACAGGTCATAATTGGTTATCACCGGCATTTTTAAGGTTGTGTGTTGGCTGATTGGGGTCAGGAAAAGCTGAACGTTGGGATGTCTTAGTTTCCTCCCATTTCTATTGCTCTGTAATCATCTGGCCTCTTGGTATTTAAGTCCTATGGTCTTCAGTGGGAAGTTTCTATTGGAAAGAGCATGTGGTCCCCAGAATAAACTTGTCTGTTTGCCCAAGTGATCAGTAACCCAGAAAGAGCTGAGTGATCTTTTCATATCTCATCAGGTCTTTACGTGAGTCACCTTTTTGACTACAGCTATAAACACAATCTTTTCCCCCTTTTGGTGTTTTCAGACCAGGGTGTTGACTGAAAGGATGCTCAAACACCTTCGGAAATGGTTTGTCATGCACCTTTTCCAGCAGTCTCGGCAAAGGGCAAGGCTGGTCTCCAAGGATGGAAGGTGCAACATAGAGTTTGGCAATGTGGAGGCACAGTCAAGACTTATATTCTTCGTGGACATCTGGACAACAGTGCTTGACCTCAAATGGAGATATAAAATGACCATTTTCATCACAGCCTTCTTGGGGAGTTGGTTCCTTTTTGGTCTTCTGTGGTACGTGGTAGCCTATGTGCACAAGGACCTCCCAGAATTCCATCCGTCTGTAAACCACACTCCCTGTGTGGAGAACATCAACGGCATGACCTCAGCATTTCTGTTTTCCCTGGAAACCCAAGTGACCATCGGATATGGATTCAGGTGTGTGACGGAAAAATGTGCCACGGCCATTTTTCTGCTTATCTGCCAGTCTATACTTGGGGTTATCATCAACTCTTTCATGTGTGGCGCCATCTTAGCCAAGATCTCCCGGCCCAAAAAACGTGCAAAGACCATTACATTCAGCAAGAACGCAGTGATCAGCAAGCGGGGTGGGAAGCTGTGCCTCCTAATCCGAGTAGCTAATCTCAGGAAGAGCCTGCTCATCAGCAGTCACATCTATGGGAAGCTTCTGAAGACCACGGTGACGCCTGAAGGGGAGACCATCATTTTGGATCAGACCAATATCAACTTTGTAGTCGATGCTGGGAACGAGAATTTATTCTTCATCTCCCCGCTGACAATTTACCACATCATTGATCACAACAGCCCCTTCTTCCACATGGCGGCAGAAACCCTCCCCCAACAGGACTTTGAATTAGTGGTGTTTTTAGACGGCACGGTGGAATCCACCAGTGCTACCTGCCAGGTCCGCACATCCTATGTCCCAGAGGAGGTGCTTTGGGGCTACCGTTTCCTTCCCATCGTGTCCAAGACCAAAGAGGGGAAATACCGAGTGGATTTCCATAACTTCAGCAAGACAGTGGAAGTGGAGACCCCTCACTGTGCCATGTGCCTTTATAATGAGAAAGACACGAGAGCTAGGATCAAGAGAGGCTATGACAATCCCAACTTTATCTTGTCAGAAGTCAATGAAACAGACGACACCAAGATGTAGCAGTGGCTTTTCAACCTGAGTAAAACTAGATCTTTAGAGTAGCTAGAGACCAGAAGTATTATGAAGCAATCAACCATTTAGGGGTAAGAAAGTAGGATGAAAGTCTTCAAATTCTACCAGCATGATGACCCCTGAACCCTATAAATGTGATCCTACAAGACTCGTGGCTCCCAAGGCTACTGGATTGGAACATGCAACGCATTTATGTGAAACTGGCTTATGGAAGCCATGGACACTCACTTTGACCATGACTAGGATTGTTTGAGATCATGTAGTATTGGTGGGAATGGGAAAAAAAATCATTAAAAGTTTCATGGACGGGTCAGATAAGATATTGAAGTTTCCTTGAAGTAGTTCTGAACATTGTAGGATCAGGGAGTGCTATATTCTCCATTTGACTCTATTGACAAGAAAGACATCACTCTTATTTTAACCTTGACTTCTCTCAATGGGAAAATTGCCTCCTGCACTGGGGGAGATGAACTACCTGATCACAAGAGAAAACTGCTACACAAAGCACAACTTGAGACTCTAACCTTTCTGAGCCCTGGTCTTTGGTGGCTTTGTCTTAGTCTGTAACATGGGTGTTTCAGGGGGGGCAAGGCACAAGCCAGGGGCTCTGCCCCTCCCCCTACTTGAGATGGAGAGGAGCACTCAGGAGCAGCACCTGCTTTATGATATCCAGGTGCTGTGGCCCCTGCTGGGCTTTGGCCCAAATGATCTCATGTGGAACATTTAGACAGAGGCTACATCCGCATTCTAGAATGTTGATGAACACTTCCCTGCAAGCCAGAATGCTTGAGTTGAGAGTGGAGGCAATGCCTCTTCAGTCTGTTATGGATGGTTCAGGAGTTACACATCTGTTAAAAGAGCATTTCTTGCTCTTCCAAGATGGCAATGAGGACTTTGAAGGTGCAATGTCAGTCTGAGAAAAAAAAATGTTTCTGAGAACAAAAGTCCCTTGTGTTCTCTCCCCAGTGTTTGTCCAGAAATGCAATTTCTGAAAGAGAAATGGGAAAGAGCAAGGACCTGGATGTGGTCTCACAGTCAGGACATCTCTGGGTCTTCCTTTCTCTGACAACCCACACCACATCTTCCTAAAAGGCATCAATTTAATGTAAAGATTGCCCTTTGGGGAAGGTTTTACTGTGAATGTCTTGTTCGGTTCCTCCCTTGCCTTATTTTGTATGTATCCTGGAAAAAAATGGTACTGAAAGCTGCTTGAGAATGAAAATGTTTTTAGTGGATCGATTAACATTAAATTTCTGAAACTGTGCATACCCTTTCCAAAAGCGTCAGTCATTGTGCATCAACAGCAACAGACAACTGGGCATAATCCTCTTGCTGAGGGTGGACTTTCTCCTGGACGGGGCAGAGGGGTGAGAAGGTGGAAACTGGGACCGTCTGCTGCTTTGACTGCCTAGAAGGAAGTGACCTCAGTGGCGGACACGCCCCTTCCTGTACATCCCCATGAAATCTCTCCAGGGTGAGTCTGGGTATATCCAGTGACAGCAACCAGCAGTTGTCTGTAGGGTTGAGTTTGTTTTCCTGGCCCTGGGAGCTGAGTTTGCATAGATGCACACACGCTGGTAGTTCTGATCATGACTAGTTGGAAGGCTGATGGGTTTAGGGTTATACACTCTGTTAGCTGCTTTAACAACGGGCACAACTGGCTCCATGGGAGATTGCTCCGTAAGGGCTTTGGCACCATAATTTACTTTGCTGACAAAGCTAAAAGAAATCAGGCTCTTCAGACTTGAGGGATCTGGAATTCCCTGCTGGCCTGTTGTCCTGAGGTCTGATGAGTACATAGCTCTTTATGAACTGAGGGGAGATGGATGCATTGACTCAAGTCATTCATGTCACCCACACTCCTTTTGGTCTGTTCTCTCTCTGTGCAACTCCTTTTGGTTGGCAGTGTGCTTGCGGATTGCTGGAAGTGGAATACTCATACGCAATTCATGCCCTTTGATTGTGAAGAGAGTAGAGTCACTGGAATCCTTCTGATTGGTATTTATGTCTGAGTTATTTAATGAAAGTTTGCTTCCAAATATTCCTTATTAGGATCAAGGCACGCTTGTACTTGGAGTCTCCCTTTTAAAGCAAATTCTCACTGAACTTCTAGCAACCATTAACATGCATCAAGTAAAGCTTCCAGGAAATGGGGCTTGGGACAGGTAACTGGATATTCTATGGGGTGGCTGGACCACAAAAGCGGCCTTAGAATCCCAAGCCTTTGGTGAGGAGGGGATGCCAGAACAGGGCTCAGTGGTAAGAAAGTGGATAAGAGACAGAGCCCCAGAAAGCCAGCTTGCCTGTGGGTTAAGGTTGTTAAAGGCAGGCTCATCCCAAGGTGGGAACATTCTCCCAGCAGCGTCTCACTATGTAGGTACTGCTGTTGCTACAGGCAGGCCATACTATCATGTTGACTGATTGATCCATTTTCAAAGCAATTAGATATTTCTTATTCCCCTTTAGAAAAAGATCATCTGATGATGGGTTATTATATTCATCATTTTCCCTGATACTGATTCCTTTTGAACTGCTTAATGTCTTTCTGTTGCTATGGAGATTTTGACTTGGTTTAACTGTCCTGGACTTAGGTTGGCTTAGCTCCAGTGGTAGAATTAAGATCTGGGAGGTGGTCATTAATAGAAGGGGCTCACTGCTTTCAAATTATTGCTTCCTTAGGGGACAAAGGGTAGAAGGGAGAGGACCTCTCTCAGTGGCCAGCTCCAAGGAGCGTGGTGATGAGGGGGCCATGTCCATCGCTGCACACTTTCCTTGGACATGTGTCACTGTGTCACTGAATGGGAGCTGGGCCCTCCAGGGGCTCACACCAGGGGCCAGAACACAGGTTACAGAAACCTCTGGTGGCAAGCATGCAAATGAGGGCCCGCCCCAGTCCTGGGCCGTTGTTGTCTGCCATTACAGGAAGTGTGTGTCAATCAAAGCACGACCAGGGAGATAGAGCACTTTATTTTGGAAGCCAGAAGTTTGAGAACAATGACTGGAATTTCCTTTCTGTCCAGCAAGGGCTGTTTGTCACTGTGGAGATAAAAGTCCAGGGGTAGGGAATAAAGGTTATCGGGAACTGTGCGAGGCAGCAGAGCCGCGGGGGGCGCAGCGGGAGGAGGGGGTACAGAGGAAATCTATTTCAATGCCTGTCATTAAGTTTCCATTAAAAGAACATTCAGTTAGGAATTCAAAAATAATTTAATCTCCCCAACCAGATGCACCCAGCTGGACTCCTTGGAGCTGAGCCCTGCCGGGAGGGAGAGTCAGCCACCAGGGTGGGGTGGAGGCTGCGGGTCCCCCTCCACCCAGCACGTCCTCGAGGGCGCTGATGTTCTAGAAGACTTGAGTATGGGTCAGGCAAGTGGGAAGCCCCAAGACTTGTGCTGGAAAGAAGGAACTTAGTAGATGGGCTGCTTACTAGGTTTTTTGTATGTCCTGGGCTCTGTTGTAGGCCTTTGCTATGTATGGTCTCATTTAACATTTTTTAAAAATATTTATTTATTTATTTATTTGAAAGGTAGAGTTACAGAGAGCAGAAGCAGAAAGAGAGAGAGAGAAAGAGGTCTTCCATCCACTGGTTCACTCCCCAGATGGCCACAATGGCAGGAGCTGTGCCGATCCAAAGCCAGCAGCCAGGAGCTTCTTTCAGGTCTCCCAGGTGGGTGCAGATGGTCCTTGGGCCATCTTCTCCTGCTTTCCTAGGTCATAGCAGAGAGCTGGATCAGAAGTGGAGCAGTTGGAACTCGAACCAGCGCCCATATGGGATGCCAGTACCGTAGGTGGCGGCTTTACCCGCTACACCACAGCACCGGCCTCGGACCTCATTTAACTTTTCCCAGCAATCCTATGACGTCAGTGCTAGTGCCACACTTACTCTTCAGTTGAGGCAACGGAGCTGAGAGATGGTCCACAGTCTGGCTAGTTAATGGCAGGGCTGTGACTCAAACCCAGGTCAGCCAGCCTTGAGAGCCTCTGCGTTTAAAACCACGGAAGTCCACATCCAAGATGGTCACCCTCTGAGAGGACCCCCGAGGCCACCAGACTCACCTGGAACCCATGGACGGCTGGCACATACTCTTGGCCCCATCTCACACTTTGGGAGACATTGCTCATGGCTTAGCATGGGGCAGAACCCTTGGCCAGGGCTGACTAAGCATTGCTGGGGGTGGGTTCTTGGCACAGAGATTAAGACACTATTTGGGATGCCCACACTCGGTATCTGAGTGCCTGGATTCAAGTCCTGGTTCCACATCTGAATCCAGCTTCCCGCTAATGCACACCCTGGGAGGTAGTGGGTGATGGCTAAGTACTTCTGTTCCTTCCACCCATGTGGGAAACCTGAGTTGAGTTCCAGGCTCCTGGCTTTGGCTATTGCATTTGGGGACTGAACCAGTAGATGGGAGATCTCTCTCTCTGTCTCTCTAAGTACCTCTGGACTTCTTCGCTCTGGAATGGGGCAGTGTATTCCCAGAGGCTCTGGATAATCTGCCTGGTGGCACTCTGGAAGTACCTTGGACTTCCTAGAGATACGCGTAGTGTGTTGATGTAAAATATCCTCCTAAGACACATGTTGTATATGAGGCTATATGTATCCTATCATATACGAGGGTACTTAAAAAGTTAGTGGGCAATAGAATTAAAAGATAAGTTGTCAGCACTGTGGCACAGCAGGGTAAAGCCACTGCCTGCAGTGCCATTATCACGTACAGGCACCTGTTTGAGTCCTAGTTGTTCCATTTCGGATCCAGCTTCCTGCTAATGGTCTGAGAAAAGCAGTAGAATATGGTTTGAGCCCTTGGGTCCCTCCTTCCCACATGGGAGACCGGATGGAGTTCTGGCTCCTGGCTTTGGCCTGGCCTGGCCTTTGCTGTTGCAGCCATTTGGGAAGTGAACCAATGGATGGAACACCTCTCTGTCTCTCCCTTTCTCTCTGTAATTCTGCCTTTCAAATAAATAAATACATAAATCTGTAGGAAATATATACAGCCTAAAAATTAAAATTTTTTTTGAAATACAGGTATGGTGGTGAGTCTTCTAAAGGTCCATGAAAAATGTGTATTAGGTACTTAATACATGCATTAATCAAACATTGACAAGTTTTTAAGATGTGTGCTATGGAAAAAACTATGCATGGGTTTCGAAATTCTTTTGCACCAAAATGAACTTATCTTTCTCATTTTTTAAAAGATTTATTTATTTATTTGAAAGGCAGAGTTACAGAGAGGCAGAGAGAGAGAGAGAGAGAGAGAGAGAGAATCTTCCACCTGCTGGTTCTATCCCCAAACAGCGGCAATGGCTGGAGCTGCGCCGATCCGAAGCCAGGAGCCAGGAGCTTCTTCCAGGTCTCCCACATGGGTGCAGGGGCCCAAGGACTTGGGCCATATTCCACTGTTCTCACAGGCCATAGCAGAGAGCCGGATCAGAAGTGGAGCAGCCAGGACTCGAACCAGAGCCCATATGGGATTCTGGCACTGCAGGCAGTGGCTTTACCCACTACGCCACAGTGCTGGCCCCGAACTTATCTTTCAATTACATTTTTCCGTGAACTTTTTGAGGTATCTTCACATGTGTGTGTATGTGCAATATTCTCCGAGTAAACACACACTACATACACAGTCACTAATTATATACAGTTAAATAATGTAACACATAGATATGTATCATATGGACACATGTGCAGATGTAACTACAATCACTACCTTTCTGCACAAGGGCAAGATTCAGCACAGCCTTTGGGTCGAGCAGGTGTGGAAAGCCCAGGAAAGTCTGACGCAGGAGGAGGTCAGTGAGCCCTCGGAGGGCTGGAGCGCGGTGTGATCGAGGAAGAATGCACGCCACCAAGTCCTTGTGTGTGTGAGATGGAGCCCGGATTCTAGCTGCGAGGTCAGGTAAGCACACCACTACAGTGAACACGGCGAAGAGACCTGTGTCAGCAGTGTTACGGTGGTGGCGCTTGTGCCCAGACCACAGGAAAACACACAAACAGTGCAGCAGGGGAGTTCACCACCGGATGTGCACGAAGAACCTGCGAAGCCAGTCTTTGGAACAAGAGCAGATTTCGTTCTCATGGTCCCCCCAGCATAGCACCAGGAGGCCCGGCTCAAATCTGGCTCCTCACCAGGGATCCAAGGAAAGGCATGTGGAAGGCACATGATGTATTTTATAGCTCTCTGAGGAAGGGGCAGCTACCATTCCTGTTTTGAGAAATGAGGAAGCAGAGCCTCAGATCCCTCCCGCCGCCCCCAGAAAGCAGGGCCT